AACCAACAATAACCCGATTACCCGTTCCCATTATCCTCATGTTACGTCCCTAAACACCTATCGTAAGGATCATCATCGGGATGGACACTACTGCTAAGGGGGTTCCTCAGCAATAAATGTCCTAAAGGCAACCAAGAGGGGGATGGAGTACACTGGTGAACACATCGTTCGCAACACCTATAGATTGCGAGCCTACCAGCGTTCCACTAGACTGACTAGAAGAGTCTATGGTCGTCATCTATACTCTGCTAGATGACTGGATCAACAACAACAACAACATCGATGCCTCTCATCATTTTATCACACATCACCTATTACATCTACCCATGTTTTACCCCCAACATTTTCGTAGATATAAAATACACATACAGTTTAAATCATTTAAAATTTGTATAAAAACATTCATCCAGCATAGATAGCAAGTATACAGATAATATGCACACATAGCACGTAATATATAAAATACTTCATATCTATGTGTAAGCTGAAAGTAACTATGCACTCACTTGAAAGGTGGTGACTCAACACTCGGATAGCACTTCGATACTCTCAAAACAATTTTCTTTCGATAAAACCAAGTATCAATACCACTAGGGTTTAGTCTAACGTTAACCGCGACTAATTAATAGTCTAGCTATTATTATTGTTATTATATAAGTGTTAAATAACACTCAATATAATTCATAATAATAGCCCAAATAATTATTTTGAGGACCTAATAATATTACTATAATTATTTGAAAGCTATATTAAAAATTGTGTAAGCGTAGCTCACTTACAGCGGATTTTAAAGAAAACCGGGATTTACTCGGAGCAACGTGTCCGAAACCGAAAGACCCTTTTTCTCAGGACTCCGGGAGCCTCAGGGCTTCCTTCGGGTGCTAGGGGATCACCTAGGCTTAGGGGAGGGTTCAAAACCCTAGAGAGAGAAAGTTTAGAGAGAAGAAATGAAGAAAGGTGTGAAATTTTCGGAAGAGTTCGGACCCCTTTTATAGGCTCCAGCAGCTTCGGATTACGCTGGGCGTACCGGGGCTACGCTGAGCGTAGTCTCGGATAAGGTTGCCACCTCGGATCCAGCTGTCTCGCACTCGTCGGAAGGATTAGGACGAAGGTACGCGGGGCATACCGGACATCGTACGCAGGGATTAACATGAGGTGACACGTCGTTCATCCGAAGCGAAGCCTTGGGCAACAAGCAACGACTCAGATGCGGCCACGTCATCTCCCTTCTCACATATTTCACAATTTTCCTTCCCGACTTCTAAAAATCATAACTTTCGCATACGAGCTCCGTTTTCGACGTTCTTTATATCCACGCGAAGGCGGGAACGTACTCTACAACTTTTGTTTAGACTTCATTGGCTAATTTTGGCTCTATTTTAAAAGTTATATCATTAACAGGGCAGGACAGGATTGGTTTGTTAAATTCTCATAACTTCTTTACCCGACGTCCGTTTTCACCCATCTTTTTCTCGTTACGCTACTCTTAACGAGATCTTCGATTCTCGTTTAGGTCATGTCAGCTAAAAACTACTCGATCTATTATTCGAATTCCGGGTTGTACACTGCTAATCCGAAACTTCGAAAAATCATAACTTCCTCATACGAAGTCAAATTTGTGCGTTCTTTTTATCGACGCTCTTAGTTTAACATACTCTACGACTTTAGTTTAGACCATTAAGGCTAAAACTCGCTCTATCGTAAATTCACTCTTTACGCTTCCCGGTATTGTGTCAGTTCCGTTGCGAAACTTCAACAGGTCATAACTTCTTCGTTATAACTCGGATTTCGGCGTTCTTTATATCCCCGAAATACTTGTTTCGACTACTACAATTTTATGTAGAGATATCGGGCTTATCTCACACTTTAGTTTTGACGCTTATTTTTATTCTTTATTTATTAAACATTTATAAATACATAATAAGCACATAAATACACATAATTCACATAATACTCAAATATTTCATCTTTATTACTTCAAAAAGAGTTACAATAATTGACCTAGACTATTACATCGTCTAAAATGCTTAGCCTCGAAACTCGAGCGTTACAAGTTTCCAGTTCCCCCTTTTCCTGTAGACTCTCATTTTTGGCTTCCAGCCGAGGTCTGGTTTCCTGTAAGCCCGACCCCTATTGGTTGTCCTACTTCGACCACCCTTAGCTCAATTTGTCTAGCTAGATTCATGACATAATATAGAGTTATGAGTCTCGCAAATTCAACCTCATATCTTATCACGTTTATTAGCCCCACACAAAAGTGCCACATGCTTTGTTCTGGAGTTACTCCGATTGTTCTTCATAATAGAGACTCGAAAGTTGCACAATAGTCTTCCACTGTGCCAGTTTTTCTAAGTTGCGTTAGTTCTCCTAGCGGGTTCATACTCATCGGAGGCCCAAAACGAATTTTGCACTCCTCCACAAACTCGTTCCAGGTTGGCCCCCCTTTCATCCGCCTCAAATTCTGATACCAGACGCTTGCCTTTCCTTGAAGAACAAAGGTTGCCTGATGAACCCATGCTTCAGTTGGATTTTTTTTGTTCTTCAAAGAAATCTTAGCACTTCTCTAGCCAAGATAGGGGGTCGTCCTTGCCATCATAAGTTGGAAACTCCATCTTTGTAAATTTTGGCACCCTAGTTGCTTTATACCCATTTACTTCATCAGTTTCGTCCCATATTTTGAACCCCATACATAGGGTGTAACGCCCGTAGATCAGGGCTAGTCAATTTAGAGACAATAAGCGTCAAAAATGACTTTTTTGATAGAAGATTATTTAGGATGAATAATCCTAACTAAGTTGTAGTATATGTTACAAGGTTTCCGTGCATATAAAAAACGCCAAAATCCGAGTTATAACGAAGAAGTTATGACTTGTTAAAGTTTCGGGACAGAACCGGCACAACGCTAAATGACGTAAAAAGTAAATTTACGTTAGAGTGATATTTAGCCTTAGCAATCTAAACGAGAATCGAAGATCTCATTGTTAGTAGCGAAACGATGAAAAGTTAGGTAAGAACGGACGTTGGACGAAGAAGTTATGAATTTATAACGAAATTTTCTGTCCTGACCTATTAAAAATAAATAAAAAAAATAAAATCAAAATTAGCTGACAGAGTTTAAACGAAAGTTGAAGAACGTAGTCTCACCTACGCGTGGATATAAAGAACGTCGAAAACGGAGTTCGTATGAAGAAGATATGAATTTTCGAAGTTTATTAATTAATTAATAATTAAATTTAATTATTAAATCCCGGTATTATCCGAAGGCGAGTCATCGGACTCATCCGAAGTACGCCCCGCCTACGAGTGTACGCCCCGCGTACAGCGAAGCATGACGACCTTCGCACTCGAGTTCTTCGGATGACGCATGCAGTGACGAATTCGGACGCGTGCGCCCCGCGTAATCCGAGGCTCCAGCCTCCTATAAATAGGATGCGAGGGCAGCCGGTTCTTTTGTTCATTTTCTCTCTTCTCTCTCCCGTTTTACATCGATTTGCATGCCAGAAATACCCCGAAGCCCCGGTATTATTCTCGAGCCCCGAAGCAAGTCCCGAGATCTCGAAGATCCCGAGAAGTGCGGTTCCCGAGCCGAAGCTCTGCCCGCGAGAAGTTCGATTTTTGTGGAGATCTTCCAGATCTACCGAAGAATACTACTTCTGCAAGTCGTAGTGCTGTCCGATCATCTTCTGATCAAGTGGGTGTATACTACCTTTCATAAACACGATAATAATACAAGTATGGTTTGAGTGTATTAAGTTTATTGTTGTTTATATGTGTGAGTGTGTAGTTACTTTCTTCTAATACATAAATATGACGTATTTGCTATGAAATACGTGCTATGTGTTTATATGTTATTTGTCTATTTGAGATGGGCATGGAAATTGGAGTTTTATACAGGTGTTAAATGATTTAAACTGTGTAAGTATTTATATCTACAAAATTGTTGGGTAGAACATAGGTAGATGGAATAGTTGGTGACTATGGAGTTAGCGCCTATTGTATAAACCTTGGCGACGATGTGACTTCGTTCCTATTTGATGAACCTTGGTGACTATGGAGTTAGCGCACGTTGAGTAAACTTTGACAACTATGGAGTTAGCGCTTGTTGAGTAAGCCTTGGCGACTATGGAGTTAGCGCTTGTTAAGTGAACTTTGGTGACTATGGAGTTAGCGCCAAATAACTATGGATTTAGTACTTGATAAATAAGCTTTGGCAGCAATGGAATTCGTGCCAAATTCCTTACGAATAAATGAATGAAGGATAGTTGGTCCTTAGGGTAAAACCTTAAGAAGATAATGGGGATGGGTAATTGGGTTGATTGTTTGCTGATTACATATAATAATTATATTATTGTGGGTTGAAAACCCTATATGCTCACCAGGCTCCCAAGTCTAACTCACTCAGTTTTCTTTTCATTACAGGTAATGGCACAAGGGTATAAGTTGGTGGACTTGACAAGAGATTTTGGATTATAGATAAGTAGTTGATAACTATTGTAAGGTCTATTTTATATTGTTTATGCTTTTGGTCTGTAACGAACATGACATCCCGAGTTTTTATTATTTAATGAAAATACATTCTTTTCGAGAAATGTTTTGATAAATGGTTATCATATTTTATTTTGGGAACAAATTCCGCAACTGTTTTCTTTAAACGATCACTCTGATTTAAAAAAAAAAAAAAAAAAAAAAAAAAAAAAAAAAAAAAAAAAAAAAACAAAGGCATAAACAAATCGGTCTTTTCTGGCCGTGAAATTGGGGATGTCACATAGGGTCTTGATCAACTTTTCGATTATGTGTTGACGCTTGACCTTTTAAAGGATCCCACTTATATTTGAACTTCGGTTGGTAAGTACTCCTCCATGATTCTGATTCATGTGTCTTCCCTGTGCCGTTAGGGTTTATTCCAAACCCCTTCCCTACGTTGTTAGGGTTTATCCCAAACTCTCATTGTCCTCGTCCTACCCCTATTAAAGATATGAATCCCCTTCCTTCTTAAGCGCCTAAATTAATACCCTTGCCTCTACCTTGGCTTCAAATTGTTGTTCACCTTCTTCCTCCATGCTAGTTTCTGATCTATTTTTAGAGTTTGTCTGCTTTGACAAACCTTCTTCCAGGGACACATATTTAGCTTGTAAGCCTGAAATCGCCCCTTTAATCTCTTTATTGCTCTGTTCCTGTTGAATCATGAATTCCTCGAACTTTTTCATCAACTCTTCTGCAGAAGTCGTCATCACGAGTGGCTCTGATACCAAATTTGTTATGGCCCGGGATTTAGATCTCGTGACAGGACCTGTTGTGCTTCCTACAGCTGTGAGTATTACTAACACCTAATCTCCTAATGAGAGAAGACTAGGTTAAACTATTCTAAAATATTAAAAACAATTTACTTCAAGCATAATTTTATTTCATGAACGACTGCCCTTTAAATAGGGATAAACAAATGACTCTAATAAGGAAACAAAGATCACCCAAATCGACTCAAATACTAAATGATCCTAATTACCAAATTTAAAAAATGAAACAATATAATTTCCTAAAATAAGATACTTTCCAGAAATTAAAATACTTATTATCCGTATGATTCATAACAAAAAGTTGATATATCATAAGTGAGTAAGTACCACATCTGTAGGAAAGAGCAAAAAGAAAAATTGATAGTGTCATAAAATCGAAACTAAAAAGCAATCTGGGATAAATTTCTATAAAAAGATAGTATAAAGAAAGATTTCGTAATGCTCATACTCACCTCTTGTTTTTTCTGAAGCATTTCTACAAACACTTTATGCACACTTTCCTTGAGCACGTTAATACCTTTTACTTCTTAATTTTCAGCGTTACTCCCATTAAATAACTCCTTTGAAACCTATGTAGTTCAATCCAAACACAACCATTTTAGAAGAAAAATGATATGAAAACATTGAGAAGAGTAAAGGAGGAATACAACTTGATGGATGTTAGAACCTTTACTAAATGTATAACGACATTATAAAATCAGCCCAAGGGTACAAACACTTATTGCAAGCATCCATGTCAAGGTAGAATCATGGAAAGAAACACCAGATTGGTGTTCCATTTTGTCTCTTAAGAAATCTGAAACAAAATCACCCAAAAATATAAATAAAAAACACTCATATCGGAGATGAAAATAAGTATTATAGATTTCAATTTGCTATAAAAAACAATCATACTTTGTATAACATTGATGCTTAAAAATGATTACAATACTCACTCACGCCATATTTTGAGTGTTGGAGTCACCTAGTGATTGTGAGTTATATGATTTCATCAATTCATCCCACTACTTCGATCAATTCTTCCTCCAAAGCTGCAACATTAGATCAAAGATTAAAAATTTATCAGACTCAACTTTATTTTGGAGACAAAAACCTATTATTTTGCATGTCTTGCAGGTTTAAATAAAAAAATTTGTTTTTTAGCACGATAGAAGAACCCAGAAAAAATAGACATAGATCAATCCAACATATTGAAAACCAAGAAATTGAAGTTTCCCAGCCACAAGAAATAGAAATCTCGACTTGAAAACTTTATACAAACCATAAAAAATACCCACACAAACATATTGCATTAGAATACTAAGAACATAGTGACAAAGGGAAGGGTTACCTGGACACACACACATAAATACATATAGAGAGTTCCATTAGTTGCCAAATCTTGTGTTGGATGAAGCGTGTATAGAAGAAGACTCTTTAGAAAGGGAAAAAAAATGAAGCAGCAAAATGAAACATACAGATCAAATCGAAACGTCTTCCTCCAGGTCGTTTGTCTTAAAATACTCAACTTGTTCATCGATCTGTATATTGACACAAAAAAAAAAAAAAAAAAAAAAAATAGACTTCAAATAAAAAATCAAAGCCACCCATAAACAAAAAGCAGCAAATAATAAAAACTAAGTTCAACGAATACGAAAAAGATGACAAAACTATCCAGAAAGAGAAAAAGAGAGGGAGGATAGAGAATGATATCAGGGGAAGAAGGGAATGTGGGAATTTATCCTGGTTACAAATATTTAGAGAAAGGGTGAAAGCTGGGGGAAAACATCGAAGAGATATGCGATGGTAAGGTAGGAGACGACGGTTTAGGGTTTGTAGAGAGAAGATGTGGGAGTGACTTACTAAGTGAGTGAGCTATGGATTTAATTTTGGGCCATGAGGGAAAAAGAAAGTGATGACATCCATTGCTTAGTTCCTTAGTAAGACAAAGCATGAGATGTTTGTACATGTTGCAATAAAAACGATACCTCTTAAAAAAACTGAATATGCTTTATAGGATAGTAAAGACAAAACTGCAAATTTGGTCCTTGTGGTTTTCAAAAACCTTTGGATGGGGTCCAAAAAGTTACCAACTTGCATGGAAGGTCCAAAATCAAGGTTTTTCTAGGTTTTTGGTCCAAAAAAACTTAAAAAGACGATTATGCCCTTTTATTTTTTTTTTATTTTTTATAATTATTCTAATGTTGTTTTAATTAAAAAATAAAGAATAAATAAAAAAAGTATCCCCACCCCACCCTCTCTCTCTGTCTCGCTCGCTTCGTATCTCTCTCTCTCTCTCGTCTTTGTTTCTATGGATCATTAGCTTTCTCTTTCTTCACAATTAATATGGAAATAAAGTATAATTAAGATTGTTCTGAAGTGTAATTCCTTCTTCAACTGCATCAAAATCAATTCTCGGTCCAGTGAAGAAGGTTTGGGAAAAAGAAAAAAATACAATACCCACTTCTTCTTCTTGATCATATCATAGGTGGAAATCAAAATCAAACCTACAACAAATCAAAATCAAACCTTACCATCCCACTGGTCAATAAAACCACCAAAAATTTGTTGGCTCCACCTCGAGGTTCTTACCTACCTGCTCCAAGCCTTTGATGTGTTGATTTATAGTCCCAATCTGAACAGAAACAAAAGTTCATACTGAGGTCGTCGATCAGGGAGGAGAGATTCAGAAGGTGCTTTAAATTAAAGTGGATTGAATTTATAGATAAAACGAGCTCATATTTATTCTCTCTGTACCACCAGCAGCGACGCCTTGCGAGAGAAGATGAATACCATTGGTCGTCGGAGCTCTCAATACACTCAGATGTAGGTTTGAGGGCATAGATCTATGCCACACATTGTCCCCACGGCCTTCGACGAGCACATTTGATCGCGTTTTGTAACAAACACCCATTTCAGATGGTGAACGAGATGAGAGAGGGATAGGAAGAAAGTGGAGAAGATTAGAGTTGGAGTTTTGGGTGTCGGAAATGCAAATGTGCAGTGGTGGCTGAAGAGGGGTATAACGAAGATGAAATGCATCGATTAAGATGGAGTTACAGTTCTGAAAGTAGGGTTATTGACAGCTCCGGTGGTTTTGGTGGCGACGAGAATGAATCCACAGGTGGTTCAATTTTGAGATATCAATTTTCTTTTGAGAGATGGCGTTCAGGAGAGAGAGAGAGAGAGAGAGAGAGAGAGAGAGAGAGAGAGAGAGAGAGAGAGAGAAGGATGTGAGAGAGAGAGAGAGAGAAAGACGAAGAGAGAGAGAGAGAGAAGGTGGGGGTGGGGGATACCTTTTTCTTTTTTCTTTATTTTTTAATTAAAACAATATTGGAGTATTTATAAAAAATACAAAAAAGAAAATAAAAGGGCATAATTGTCTTTTTAAGTTTTTTGGACAAAAACACAGAAAAACCTTAATTTTGGACCTTCCATGCAAGTTGGAAACTTTTTGGATCCCATCCAAAGGTTTTTGAAAACCACAAGGACCAAATTTGCAGTTTTATCGATAGTAAACATAGTAAAAAGATAAATATTTTTTAAATACCAGTAAATCATAATTAAACACAAAAATAAAAATATTAAAAAAATGACCAATCTTTAATTTAATTTAAATTTGGAAAAAACTAAAAATTTGTTCTGAAATACGACTCCAACGCCCAACCTCTAGAATTCCCGACTCACATACATATTATTTTAGACAAAACGATCATTTTATTAAAAAAAAAAAAAACAAAAACTGATTATTTTTACAACAGACAACCATTGTATCAGTTTGATTATTCGATTCCCTTTTTCCAAAACACATAAATCTATAAGGAATTTAGCTCGAAAGCATTTTCCCTAAATAAACCTTTGTGGCTTCTACTTTAGCCTCCAAGAATCAGAGCAAAGTAAACCCAAAATGCCGGATCGTTTCTATCCAAATGAAATGCCGGAATTCATCAAAGAAGAAGAACCACCGCCACCTGAAACCACCACAAATCCCCTAACAAAGACTCTATCTCTTCCCTACAACCTATTTTCCGATCAACTCAAACGAGCAGCCTTCGACCTCAAACGCACTGTATTTTCTACTTCTTTATTCCCTTCATTTCTGTTTTCTCCCTTTCTTCCTTGTGTTGATTTTTGATTGACACATGTTCCCAATTATAGATTGTGTCGGAGACTTGGGGAAACACCGGGAAACGTTTAACCGATTACACGCTGTACACAGGTGCGCTAGGCACAGCTTCGATCGTTTTCAAGGCTTACACAACAAGAAAGATCTTGATTTATGTAGAGATATTCTTAAAGCTTGCGATTCTGCCTCTTTTGGCTTTAGGTTAACCTTCTTCTCTGTTTCCATATCTGTTTTTCAGCAAGACGATTGTTATTAAACCAGTGATATAAAATTCGATAGTTTTTTGCAGTCGCAGCCCTGTGACATTCATCTGTGGTCAGGTCGGTGTATCTGCTCTTGGTGTCGTCGTGGCCAAACAAAGCAACGATGATCAATTGTTTAATCACTATCTGACAAGATTTAAAAAGGTAGTAGTTTTTCATGTGATGATCTTGTTTTGTTTATTTGGCCAATTGGATTTTGTTTTTGGTTATAGATAAAGCTTCCTAAAGATCTTCCAAATGAACTATTTTTTGGTAGAACAGGTTACTTATGGGCATGTCTGTTCATTAACAAGAATCTTGGTGAAAACATTATATCCTATACCCACATGGTAAAGCTTTATGATTGTCATCTTTAAATTATTTTTACAAAAACATTTGATTTTTATTACGTTTGCAGAGAGAAATCAAAGATGAAATTATCAAGGCTGGTAGAAATATGTCTACTAGTGAATGTCCATTAATGTATGAGTGGTATGGAAAAAGGTATTGGGGAGCTGCTCATGGGTTAGCGGGGATAATGAATGTCTTAATGGACATGGAGTTGACTGAAGATGAATTGAAAGATGTTAAGAGTACACTTATTTACATGATTAACAACCGTTTTCCTAATGGAAACTATCGATCAAGTGAAGGTAGTAATTCAGACCACTTCATTGATTGGTGCCTTGGTGCTACTGGGATGGCTCTTACCCTCACCAAAGCAGCCACAGTATGTATTCAACCATTGATATTTGATAACCTTAAACTTAAAAAAAATCTTCTAAAACACTTAAGTTTGTTAAAATCTTAATAGGTTTTTGGAAGTGATGAGTTTTTAAAGGCAGCAACTGATGCGGGAGAGGTGGTATGGAAACGCGGTTTACTTAAAAAAGTTGGAATCTGTCATGGAATCAGTGGCAATGCGTATGTTTTTCTTTCACTTTATCGCTTAACAGGCGACATCAAGTTCTTATACAGAGCCAAAGCTTTTGCCACCTTCCTCTATCATAAAAGTCAAACCCTTATAACTCAAGGGTCAATGCATGGAGGTGATCGACCCTTTTCACTATTCTAAGGCATCGGAGGTGCAGCTTATCTTTTTCTAGACATGGTAGATCCATCCATGGCTAGGTTCCCTGCCTATGAGATATAAATACTCTTTTTCTCCATTAAGTCATGTATGTATGTGTAAATGTAATGTGGTTGAATGACTGTATGCATTACAAGTTGGGTGGTATCTTAATATATGACAGGTTAAGTGTTGAATCCATAAAGCTTATTAATCAGAAGAAAAACAGCCTCTAAATGGCTAGTGATTTTATTACGGAATATCATTCAAACCATTACCTATGCTCACATTTTAACCAAAGTTAAGCTAACCCAACTAGTTTCTCACTAATCTCCCATACTTTACGTGCTTTAGTGACATCACTAGCTTCTTCTGACAACTGATTCTCAAATGAAGCCGAGTTGTTATTCCAACTCCAGTAAACACCCGATTTTGTCAAACTTGGATCACTCACAACCTAAATCATGAACAGATTGGTTAAAAATTAAATCGTTTATTATAAGTTGGAATAGATTGGAAATTTGGAATATTCACCTGAGCAAGTCTCTTTCCGGATTCATCCTCGGAAACATACCCTTTGGTGATGTACTTTTGGAAGGGAGGGAATAGGAGTCTGAACAACGGAATATGCTCCCGGAATAAACCCGTTGTGGCAATACAACCGGGATACAAAGAAGCGAATGTGATTCCGGTTTCTTCATGGAATCGGCGATGGAATTCCTGCATCATCAGCATGTTACAGACCTTACTGTCTTTATACGCCTTTGCTCCGTCGAAATCAGCACCATCGATCATGGCAGAACTATTAAGCCCGTTTAGACCACCTGCTAAACCCCTCATGTCCCCTAAGTTAGCCTTTGGGGGGACATTTCCAGCTAAAGTGTTGGTGTTACCCGTGATTGACCCAACAATTATGAGTCTTTTTGAAGGGTAATCTGATTGTTTCATTTCGTCGAGCAGTAGGCGTGCAAGAAGGAAGTGACCAAGGTGATTTGTCCCAACACTTAGCTCGAAACCATCGGCTGTGTAAGTGGGTTCTTTTGCAGTTGGTAAGTAAACAGCTGCGTTACAGACTAATACATCCAGAGGTTGACCTGATTGTTTGAAGTTTGCTACAAATTGTTTGACACTGTCGAGTGATGCGAGGTCTAGATGCATGACTGTGTAGTTTTCTTTTGGCATTCCAGATGATTTTGCAGCTCTTTCTGCTTTTAGAAAGTCTCTGCAAGCCATTATCACGTGCCATTTTCCAGTTTCCGCTAGAGATTTTGCTGTGGCTAGACCTAGACCCGAGGAAGCTCCGGTGATGACGACTGTACCTTTTCTTAGGGTTTTCTTGCCGTCGGTTGATGCCTGGTTGACTGATGGAGTTGTGGTGGCTACAGCTTTTGTTTTGAGTGCTCCCCTTTGGGTGAATTCCTTCTGTAGCAACAATTTCAATTCTTGAGTAACTCTAGATTTTGGATTCGAATGGAAATTTTTTGAAAGAAAAGATTTGCTTTCGTACCCTGTTCTTTGATGATGTGAAGTCGACTTTAAGATGAGTTGACAGTGGTACTCCAAATAGGGTGGAGTCTTTCAAAGAAGCCTGCAAAAATGTACAGCATTGTGAGTAACAAGTAACAGCATCATTTATTAAACACTTGGGAAGGCAAGCAAACCTCTTTGTGGACAGCGAAAGAAGATGTAGTAGCCTGGAGTGCCATTGGAGATATCTGTAAATATCTAATTAAGATTGTTGAAGATAGATCATATTGGTGTGGGGGTATTTATAATTTTATATATAGGATATACAACACGGAGAGACACTTGTGATTTGTTGTGCAAAAAATGGATTGTTTTGTTTATTAATTATTATTATTATTATGAGGTGGTGGATAAGAAAATTGATCAGGAAAGTTGGTGGGTTCCACTTTATTGTAAAGCAACCAATGAGAGAGTAGATCGTAGATTTCTAGCAGATAAGTGAGGTGGGCCTGAAGGTGCTCTGCCCGAAGCACGTTTCCACTTCCAAACAGTTATGGGCTTTGGAATGGGATTATGGTCTTTATGTTTGTATTTTTCTGAGTGGGTTTGAGTTTTTCAGTTTTATTTTCGTCCCGGTTATGTATGTTTTTCGGTTCGGTCTTTTTTGGATGGTTTTATCTAATAACATTAATATATAAAACTTCATTATTAATTAATAAAAAAAGAATAATATTATATAACTTGTAATAAACATATCAGTGGAACAATATATCTAGGGAAATTCTTAAAGAGGTAATCTTAGTTAAGGGTGTCATGTTGGTGATGTATTTGGTATGCAACTTAGATTTCATTGTTGAGTGTTGGTAATGAAGTCGTTGTCAATTTCTTCGACATCGTTATTAGTGTATGATGACACTGTTTCTTACCTTCTTTCCATTTCAAACTTCTAAAATCTCGTTTTTCATATGGATTAAACATTCCTTAATATCTGTGTAATTTTGCAGCGATTCATCGTCAACATACAAATTGCGCTTAATATCTTGTCATTAAGAGAAAACAACATACCAAAGCTATGATACCAACTTTGACCGTCAGTACATCCCCATCCATTGAGGCTATGACTTTATATTAACCTAAATTTTTTCTTTTTCACTATCATTTTAAAATATCAAATTGTGCAAACTCTTAGACATTTACCTTACATTTGTGGTTGCTTTGTAAATTGAAAATTCCTTTAAATCGAACATAATCATTAAACTATGAGGTGCTCGTTCTCATTAAACTGGGTGATCTTAAACAACTAGTTTGATGAGACTGACTTGGGACTGCTTTGGACCGACTAGAGATTGAGACCGACTTAGGACTAACCTTGGATCGCCAGTTGCTAAAAAATGGGGACCAATTCTAGAGCAATGGTCATCACATCAAGTAGTGTGCACCTGGGTTAGTGAACTCTAGTTGTGCTTGAATTGCGATCCACTCTGGTCAAGTTGAACCTTGTAGGATTTTCAAGATCGGGTTCTCACTACCTCCAAGTAGGATTTTGTAAAACTGGTGATTCACAAGTTCACAACTATTAAAGAATTTAAGTGAGTTTGTTCAAGAAAACTAGTAATCGATATAATCAAGCTTGGACATTGGACCATGGTCTTTCTTACCAACTTTTAAATTTTTATTTAATATTTCTTTTTAATTAATAAAATTGTTAACAAATTTTATATTCAAATCAAAGAACCTATAGATATTAACCAATATTTTATAATCCGGTTTTTTAGTTGGCTCGATGTAACGAATGAGAACAGCTCAATCTGATTTTCGGAATATGCTTAATTATTCTATAATTGCAGCGCATAATGATGTGTTTCCTAGTTGCCCTTCACATACTATTGAAAATCTTTCAAAATATGAGTGACAAGACAAAAAAAAATGGAAGTATTAGTTAAAAAGGTAAAAGACTTTTTTATTGAATGTTAAAGATGATTTGAAGTTAAAATATATAAGAGAATAATTAAGCACCTAGCATTTTGAATACGTCAATTTTTTAAGGTTTTACTAAACTTAAATATGTAAATTTAATAAGGTTTTTACATGAAAATATTGATCTTTCAAGGAACAAGAATAATGGGCTCAATGTGGAGCATATGAAATAGTAAATGGAACAAATAAAACATTGGAATATTAAGTCAAAATTGTTTGATGTGTTAGTACACTATTTATTTTAAGATATAAGTTATATATGTGTGCAATCATATTGAAAATAATAGAAGATAAATATAAATATGTAACGTGATATTGTTTTTTAATCTGGATTTTTGTAATTGGCCAGGTTAACGGTCCAACCGTTTAGACCCGACTTTTAAGAAACATTGATTTTAGAAGATATTGAGACGCATGTAGACATGGACGGATGATGAGCAAAAGGACCGAACCGGCCGGAACCGGCTTCGGCCAAAATCAAGAAGCGAACCAGCCCGGTGGTTCTATCGGTTCCGGTTCTACTGGTTTCCGGTTCCTACCGATTATTGTCGTGTCTTCAAATGTTGAAATCGGTCCTTGAAAAATAGCATCATACGGTTCCGGTTTTTGCCGGTTCTACCGGTTCCGGTTCCTACTGGTTCCAAAAATCCACAAAAATAACGTCCCGGTCTCGGCCCGACTGGTTCCATCGGGTTCCGGTTCCGGTACTGGTTCCGACCGATTCCCTGATCCATATGTTCATCCCTAAACAGATGTATGAATGTCTAAGCAGTAGGGACCTTTTTTTCCGACCTATTGCAGATAATTTTTTTAGTTGCACCCTAATATAAAATAAAGTTTTAAATTTTTTTACCCCAATAAGATGAAATCGATTGGTCCGATTTCATACCATCATACCATCACAACCACACCTGGTTGGTGGCTGGGCCCGGGCTCATGCTCAAACTCCGTAAACCAGGCCTTTTGGGCACCTCTAACAACTTTATAAACCAAACTGTTTTTAGATTGGTTGAATGGATCAAAACTGATCAACAGACAAACAATTATATGCCATCACATAAAGCATGAAAGAGAATTGGTAAAATAGACAATTGACCTCTGTAATTCCAATCTTCTTTTTACTTTAGTCATCATATCATGTTAACTCTACATTTTCCTTACTAAACCAAAAACAAAAACTGTGTTGTTTTTTTTTCCTTTTTCATTTTTCTCTTCTCTTGATCAGCCCTAATTCTTTCCTGCACCATCTAAATCTATACGCTAATATTACAAATCATGGAAACACATTTATGTACAAATTTCCCAATAACAAAACTCTATAATCGAACCGGCAATCCAAAATTCTGGAATGTTCTAATCTCCCCACGAAGGCCAGCTGTCACAATCACCATACCCCACCCCGACTTACTACTCCCACTCAACCCGTTTGTAAAATCCGCACTCGAATGTCTACTAACAAGTTTTTCCTCCGGCCATGTGGCGGAAAACCGATCGAAAAAATAACCGTTGCTCGCACTAGAAATAATTCCATGAAACGGGCTTTCTTTTCCATTTGTTTCTTCTTCTGGTGTTGGTGGATGAGGTGGCAACTGGTTACCAGTTGCCACCTCATCCATGTGGTCCCCATGACTAAACGAATCATGGGGACTACACTCTGTCATCCCAGGCCACGGGACTGCAACCGATACATCTCGACAGTTAAAGTGCTCATAAGATCGAGTAACTGTCACCCCTTTTTTTCTACTGGGCCTTGAATCACTTTCGTGTTTCCAGACATACACCTGTGAATCCTCGCTGGCACACACCACGTATTTCCCGTTCGATGTCACAGAGGCCGAGATTTGCCTGTTTGTGTTCCGGAACCCTGCAACAACCGAGTGGCGATTTCGTAATTAAAATGAAAACCAAGGGTAAAAGTATTAAAGTCTCTGAATCCGAATCCGACCTTTGAATTTGTGAACCAAGTCGATACCGTCGACAACAACACGAATACGAGAATCTGCTGATGTGATCAGCACTTCGGATGCAGTACCTGGAGCAAACTGTAAAGGGTATTTTGGTCATTTCAACATGATACAACCGAAAGGCGTTGTTATAACTCTTGATTTTCACCTGAAAACCGGTGATCTTTTTATGGCGCGACTTCTTTTTGTTCTGTAGGTTAATCTGACTTTTCTGTTGTAATTTATTTTCTGAAGAATAAATAAAAGTTACCAACACTTGAAAACAGGAAAAAAGAAATACACAGAGAAAGATAAGTACCAGTTGTGTCGTACAAACAGCAGCTCCCTTTGTAGGAACCAACTAATGCAGCCTTCATGAATCAACAAAAATATTTGTTAGAAAAAAAAAAAAAAAAAATCCATAAAAAAAAAAGTCAACTTTGTAGGTCAACCTGACCGTCTGGTGTATAGCAAGCAGCAGTGACCATTTCATGCATATCATTCCAATCAACGACTTGATGATCAGGAATACTCCAAATCCGGACTTTGGAATCAAGTGATCCACTAATGAAGAATCTCTCATCAACAGGATTGAACTGGATGCAAGTTACTGTATTTAAAAAGATACACCCTTAGTAATCATAATTCATAAATAGAGATATATATAAACTTACTTGTTTATAAGTATTTATACTTACCATAGTCATTGTGTGAAAAGATCTTCAAACATGACTTGCTAGACAACTGCCACAAGCGCACGGTTTTGTCCATTGAAGATGACAGCAAATGGTGTGATTTTGACCAGGAGAGATCAAGAACATCATCCAGATGTCCTTTTAATGAACATACTGGTTTGTCTGATAGATTGAAAATGGTTTCTGGCATTATGATATGATCCAAAGTTGCTGACTTTCTGCTTATTGATAACCTTCCTCTTTTCTTCTTTTCCAGTTGACTATTTGGTGATCCAAACCCTGGTTCTGGTGACCCGTTGGATAATAACAACACGTTTATATTCACATCTTCCTGTTTATCAAATAAAAGATCACCTTTTCTATCTGAGGACACAACTTTCCAGACATGAATCAGACAGTCTTCACCTGCAGAAGCCAGATATTTTCCATCTAAGCTGAATTTGATTGTCCAGATTGATCCATTGTGAGCTTGTATCTCTTGGGTTTTGTAAAGAGCTGTTACATCTTTACAGGATTTCCCATATTGTCTAACACGAACTCTTTCTGGACCATGGAAAGAAGCAGAAGCAGAAGCAGAAACAGAAACATCCTGGCTTATGCTATCATCAGTTGCAGAGCTTGATCTTCTTCCACCTTTTTCTGATGATGTATCTCTCTCATCACTGCTTCGTTTCTCCTTATGACCTGTAACTGAACTCGCTACATTCTTGATACTCTTCAACCAACTTCCTTTCTTTTTGGTTTTAGGTCCATTCCCACTGCTGTTGTTATCAGGTGAATCGTTG